TTAGCTGGGCATGGTGGCGCATGCCTGTAGTCCCAGCTACTCAGGAGGCGGAGGTTGCGGTGAGCCGAGATCGCGCCATTGCACTCCAGCCTGGGCAATGAGCGAAACTCCGTCTCCAAAAAAAAGAAAACCTGCTATTAAAGGATGCTCGAGGCCGGGTGCAGTGGTTCACGCCTGTAACTGAAGCAGACGGATTGCTTGAGCCCAGGACTTCAAGACCAACCCAGGAAACATAGTGAGACCTCGTTTCTACAGAAAAAAACTAAAAATTAGCCAAGCACGGTGGCATGCACCTGTAGTTGCAGCTACTTGGCAGGCTGAGGTGGGAGGGGAGGATCACCTGAGCCTGGAGGCTGAGCTGCAGTGAGCTGTGATTGCACCACTGCCTTCCAGCCTGGGTAACAGAGTGAGACCCTGTCTCAAAAAACAAAAACAAAAACAAAAAAAACCCGGGTGCAGTGGTTCATGCCTTTAATCCCAACACTTTGGGAGGCTGAGGTGGATGGATCATCTGAGGTAAGGAGTTCAAGACCATGCTGACCAACACAATTAAATCCCATCTCTATTAAAAATACAAAAAAAGAAGAAGAAGAAGAAAAAAAAGCTGAGTGTGGTGGCTAGCACTTGTAATCTCAGCTACTCAGGAGGCTGAGGCAGAAGAATCCCTTGAATCTCGGAGGCAGAGGTTGCAGTGAGCCGAGATGGAGCCACTGCGCTCCAGACTGGGCAACAGAGCAAGACTCCATCTCAAAAATAAATCAATAAAAGTTCTCTAAGAGGTCCTCACCCCCGAGGACAATAGTCACTCCATGCCCAGTGTCCAGTTGGAGTGCCCATGACCACATGGACATTTTCCCCTGGTTTGCTCGCTAACCCTGGCTCCTGGCCAGCTGATCTCTTCAGGGAGGGAGAGACCTGGTAATGCTAAGCTGCCTTCTATCACATAAACCTCTCCTGGTGATCAGGAGGAAGAAAAGGTAGAAAGGATAGGGGAGTCTCTCATGGCTGGTTTGTATTGCAGGCATAGAGGAATTTCTCAGTGTAGTACGAGTGATCTACACTAGAATCTCTGGACTTGAACTCCTGGGCTTGAATGATCCTCCCTGCTAGCCTCCTGAGTAGCTGGGTCCATAGGTGCGTGCTCATGCCCAGCTTGGGGAAGGTTATTGAAATACAGAAACCTGGGTTATATTTCTCAATCAGTCTCTCTACCAATGAGGTCTTAGAATCTACATTTTAGCAAGCACAAGACATTTTAAAGACAACTATAGGCTGGGTGCAGTGACTTACGCCTGTAATCCCAGCACTTTGGGAGGCCAAGGTGGGTGGATCACCTGAGGTCAGGAGTTTGAGACCAGCCTGGCCAACATGGCAAAACTGCATCTCTATGAAAAATACAAAAATTAGCCAGGCATGGTGGTGCATGCCTGTAATCCCAGCTACTTGGAAGGCTGAGGCAGGAGAATCCTTTGAACCCAGGAGGTAGAGGTGGCAGTAAGCCGAGATCTCACCACTGTACTCCAGCCTGGGTAACAGAGCAAGACTCCATGCCAAAAAA